AAATGGATGCATGTTTATTATTATGTGTTTCCTACAACAACCATTGAGAATAGTTAATGATTATTCAATAGGTCACTCATGTATAGTTCTATTTATTTTCTTTCCAAGATACCTAAGTAGAGTACAACAACTATTGATAATCTCCTACCTCTTTTATCTGTAACTCACTATTATTTGTCTATTTGTTTTCCTGAGAAACTATCTGGTAGATAACAATATGTAAAACAATAACCATTGATAATTTCCTACCACTTTGTCTGTAATTTGGTAAGCGCCCCCCCCATTATTGTTATCCTTCTCTTATTCTTTAAAATTAAGAAAAAAACAAAACAAGTAGCTGTGCTCCCCGGCTAGAACCTCCAGACAAGCTCTCAAGGAAGCAGCACAATTCAAAAGCAACGGTGAGATTTACAAATCTGTCAACAATAAGGAAATCAATAAAGTCTGCTGGAAATAAAAATCTTGGCTTAAGTCACACAGCAAGGGAAAACAGATCAAAACACTTGAATTACCCTTAGACAAATTTCTATGTGCAGAATCACATAACACCAGCATTGAAAGACAGTTGCATGTGCTATTTCAGTTTGGAAAGGAATTATAGCATGATAAAATGAACAAAGATTGGAATGTCTGAATTTTAACTTCTTTTTTCTACAAACCTTATATGTAGAATAATAACCACACCAGCTATTTTCATTGGTTTGCTATGAAGGGATCAAAATACACAACTCAATCATAAAAATAAGAACTGCTCCAGATACAGGAAATCAAAGCAGGCAACCAAAATCAGACATGCTAATTTTCAGAACCTTATTTTCACCTTCTGGGCTTAGCTGCATCTCACTTCCTTTTCCCTTCCACACCATTCAACAATGATCTCCTTGAGTTCCTGTTCAGACTATTTAATATTTATTTTCTTGAGGATTCTTTAGTATTTTATCACACAGTTTTATACAGGAAATAAGCTGTTTTTAGTAGAATACATTCTACTTCTCCAGTTTTTATAGCCAAGAAGTATACTATACTATACAAAGCCAAACCAAGTGATAGAAAATCATATCAAAGTTAATGTTAAAAGACTGGTGGCCCTTATCAGGTGGCTGGAAGTTTTCCCACACTGTTGACATCAATTCCTATTGCTTCAAAGGGTCTCTGGTTTGGGCTGTTTCAGCAGTGGTGAGGAGTCTGAAGAATGTGACACTGATAGACAGTGGTACAGAGCCAAGTGCTTCATGGGGGAGGTGGCAGAAGGAATGAAATCATTCCCTCCTGTGTGGCACTCATATTGGATCTTGTAATCAGTGCATGATCAGACAAGGTACAGGGGTAAACAATGCAGAGGCAAATAAAAGTATTTTTTAAATTATTTTTTATTTTGGTTAATACATGTTTACAGTACATAATGATTACACTCATCATGGGGAATTGGTACATGTATATAACACATCTTAATTCTTTTGGCCTCACCTTCTCTTTCCCTCCTTCCCTCTTCTCTCCATCTCTTGGACTCCTTCCCATTTGTAAAAGATCTATCTCTCTGTTACCTATTATTTTTTATTTTGCTCTTTAAATTATATATATACTTTGGTTTCTCATATAAAGGAAATAATGTGAAATGAAAAAAAAAGTTATTATCAGATGATCATCTTTCTCCCTATTTGGTAAAATTAACACCTAGATACTATGGCTGCTAACTTAATTTTCAAAGAGCCGTACATTCACTAAACAACTTTTAACATGTAGGGAGAAGAGAAGTTAGAAGAGAAGTTAGTTCTTTAGGAAGAAACTGAGTTTAGATAGTTAAATGACTTGCTCAAGTTTACAGCAAAATGCATAAACACTAGTGACTGTATGGCACTGATTTACAATACAGTCAAGTAACAGACAAGTGCTATGGTCTGAATGTTTGTGCCTCTTCAAAATACATATTTTAAATTCCTAACCCCCAAAGTGATGGTACTAGGTAGTAGGACCTTTGGTGAGAGTGATTAGGTCACAATGTTCATGACTAGGATTGGCATCCTCATAAAAGATGCCTGAGAGAAATCCCTCGGCCTTCCAATGCGATTACAGTGACACAGTGACAACTAAAAATACCCCACTACATTTCAAGTATCATTTAAGTACCTTCTTCCAACTTCTCTAAGTGAGACGCTTAGAGTCATAAAGTTGGAGTTAGAAATAAAGAGAATTACACATTTTCACACTTGAAATTATTAAACTGTGGAAATATCTTACTATCTACCATACACCAAACATGTACTAGTGAAAAATAAATTAAATTTAAAAACAAACTGAGTCATTTGTCTTATACTTTTCCACAATCTGCTTTTCACTGATTGCCTCATTGTGGTGTTAAATGTGTTTAACTCTCTATTCCCTATAACTTGTTAGATAAAGAAATTTAATCAGATTCTAGTTAACTTTTTAGCAAGAATAGATCCTGTGTTCTGAACTGAATAAATACTAAGCACCAACATAAGAGTAAAAAAGAAAAAACAACAACCAAATTTCACCAGTTAAAATTACTTGTTTGTGACTTTCAGGACTCCCTTCAGACATACTTGTTTGTATAACCAAGAATAATTTTTATAATTATAAACAAAGCATGAGCTTGCATTCTATTTTAATCATATCATCATAAGCATTTTCCATACTGTGTTATAATAATAATTATTTTACTGGCTGAATCAAATGTAGATATTATATTCAGCTCAGCATTATCAAAATTTGGACAAGAATTATTTTTCTTTTTAAATTAATTACATTTATTGGTACATCTGAGGTATACATAATGATCACATTCATCATAGGGAATTTGTACCTGTGCATGACACAACTTGATTGTTTTTTTTCCTATTCTCCTACTCTCCCTTCAACCCCCCTTCCCCTCCATATTTACAAAAGTTTTGTTTCCATTTTCCTTTTCTCATCATTTTTTTTTTCTTTTCCCTTCCCTCCTCTCCCCCTCTTCCATCTCATTACCCTTCCCATTCAAACATTTTCTTCCTATTTCACAATATTTATTTGGACATAAATTATTTTAAATGTATCTGTTATTCTAAATAACACCAAACTGAACACCTTTCAGAATTCTCCACCCAAAAAGGAATTATTAACTCAAAGAATTAACACATATGGCCTCCTAAATGTATAAGTATGCTGGTATCAACATTACTTGTATTAAGCCAGGCATGGTGGCACACGCCTATAATCCCAGCACTGGGGAGGCTGAGGCAGAAGGATCGTTGCAAGTTCAAGACCAGCCTGGGCTACAAAGTGAGCTCAAGGCCAGCCTGAACTGCATAGTGAGACCCTGTCTCAAAAAAACAAAAAAATAAATAAGAAAGGCGCAAAAAATTACTTGTATTGAGTATTATCAACATTTTCACATTTCCTATTTTTGTTATATAGGAATATTTTTTTATTTCTATCTAAAAAGAGATTTAAGTATCTCACTACTCTTTATTAACCCATTTTAACTTTTTCCCCCTGACACTGGGAAGCGAACGCAAGTGCTCCACACTGAGCTACATCCTTACCCCTTTTTATTTTATTTTGAGACAGGGTCTTGGGTAACTTGCCTAGACTGGGCTCAAACTTGGAATCTCTTGCCCCTG